CAGAAAACCAAAAAGTACAAGGATCACATTATCAAGTCCCCATAAAAGGTCGTCCTGGTCAGAGTGGTCTGACATGGGGTCCAAAAGACAAGTCTAGTCAGGGTCAGATGGTGGCAGTCGTCCGAATCTGAAGGATGGGTACCCTAGCTGGTCCATCCGAATGAGCGTCCGAAGCCGGAGGGGAATGTCCTCAGGATGAAGGATGCGTCTCTTGGGTATAGATGCCCCCATGCTAGCAAGGAAATCAGCGGGCCAATTCCCCTCTCGGAAAATGTGTGAGACCTGGTAATGGATCGAGCGGAGGGTGTCTCTGATGCGCATAAGAGGATGTTGGATCTGCCATGAGCCCTGGTGGCCAGATGTCAAAAGTGTGATGACAACTGCAGCATCCATCTCTATCCAAATATGGAGGAGATCGAGGCGGAAATCTCAAGACCCATCTGGAGCGCCTGAATCTCTGCATCATAACTCGAGGAGGCCCGGAATGGCCCGTGGAAGGCAGAGATGAGTGCCCCACCATGGTCTCTGAAGCCTGGATGCATAAATCGGAACCTAATCATCTATTGTTAACTATGTAATTATAGTACTATAATACTAACATAAATAATATTTTATGTAAATTAATTAAATGGGACATGACAAAAATAGTTAAAATCGATATAGGCATTGTAAAACGCTCGGGACCGAAAACGGTACGAACATAAAGAAAACTTTTCGAAACCTTAATTTTTAGAACGGGACTACTTAATTTGGTTCGGTTATGTATGGGAAATTTCAATTTTTTTGCCCATCTCTATATCAATTAGTTTCTCAACCATCAATTATACGATATCAGCTATAAGATCGAATTCATTTCTAAACTATGAGTTAACTTATCAGTTATCTGTAAGGCTATCATTTAAGTATATTTTTCATACTCTAAAACTAAAACACTTGGCATTGCTAAGCTCAATATAAGATAAAACTCTCCAAGTATGTCTCTCGAATTGTAATCTTTATGTTATTAACTAAAAACAACGGTGAAAATGATAACCAAAGGTAAGGTTTTGTTATAGAGTCATCGAATGACACAACATATGAAATCATCCACAATTATTTGAAAATACAGTAATGATATGTATCCTACAATAAATACACTATGAACATATGCCAAACTATCAAGCTATAGATGACAACATAAGGAAGTCATTTGATGGCTTCATAAAATTTATGACAAATAATAATAGTAATAATAATATAAAACCTAAAGTACTTTGTGTGGAAATTTTTATGCATCCCACGTGATTGTTAAAATATTACAAAATTATTATTATTCGTGCACAATTAATTATGTATATACCTAACTGATCATAATTAATTACATTGATGCTTAAAATCTATTTCCAGCATCAAACTCCATTCCTTATTTATAACACTTCATTCCTTATTTCTAGCGCCTGATGTGTGTCTTGTTACCAAAAAATCATGCATATAAAATATACAAAGAATCAATTATTATTTTCGGTACTTGATTTACTGCTATTACCAAAAAATCATTTGCTCCCTTAATTGGATACATTAAACACATTAGACACAGTAAATGATTCACGCACATTATATTTAAGTATATACTCAGTATATTTTCTGTATATTTATCTAACCATCATTGTGATATTTTGAATTTTATTTTAAATAAAAAATATCAAAAAATATAAAGACATAACAAGGCAATTTACTCGACTGAAAGTTTTCAAGTGGTATATATTCCGTTTTTGTTTGTATAATTCAGTATATGTTGTAATGAAAAAAGATCCGAACTTCCGTTAATGTAGGTGGTATATTTTGCGTTTATGTTGATATATATTCAGTATATGTTCAATGAAAAAGTGTCTTCCATGCGTTAGGTGGTATATTTTGCGTTTATGTTGGTAAATATTCAATATATGTTGCAATTAAAAAACATGTCTTCAATAAAAAAATTATGATTTTTTTTTTATTTTATACATAAAAGTATATATAAACATATTATAACAATTATTTATATTCTCTATACAATACAAATCTTCTAATATGCTGAACATATACTCCATATACACACAACATATACTTAATAGTTTACAAATTATTTTCTAATATATTGAACATATACTTCATATACACCCCACATATACTCCATATACACACCTCGCTTGGCTGGTCAAACGACCAACATTTTTTTTTTTTTTTTTTT